TGGGACAAGACTGCTGGGCAGTGGTGGCATCTTTGGGCACTCCAGGTTCAGCAGCCATGCACAGCCCAGAAGACCATGCAGAGATAGTCCAGTGCACATGAAGGCTCATGATATACCATGCACTGAATTGGGTTAAAAGTCAATGGTCTTGGAGGTGAGACAACTCAATACTTCCCAGTAAGTATCAGGGGCCTCTGGTGTCCATCCCAGGCCCTCATAGTAGAAGGGGCTGGCTGGGCATCCACACTCATGAGCATCCTGCCACCCCGCCAACCTACTTCATTCATTCTCTTGTTAAGATGCCCAACGAGCCATCCTTTTGCCAGGTAGAGGGGGTAGAAAACATGCTCCTAGTCTGGAAGCAGTAGGTGAGGGAGGCATAGATTTTGTTCCTCCAGGGCTTGAAAACTGAGTGCCTCTGTGGTCACACAGGTACTGCACGGTGGGCATGGTGGTAAAGTCAAGACTGCATGGAGCAGCCTGCCTCCACGGTGACAGACTGTGGTCCGGGAGAGCCGACTCACTGAGCCAAATCTCATTCTGTTTTTCACACATTTCTATTTTTAATTTTTTTGAGATCAGGTCTCACTGGTGATTTGTAAGACAAAGCACTCGATGTAGAACAATCTTCATTTTGTAGATGAGGAAACTGAGTCTCAGAAAAGGAAGGTAACTTGCTCAGAGTTACCAATCATGCCCAGGCAGGATCTTGCGACCACAGCTTCCTGCGGCCTCGATCCCCCAGGCTCAGGCAATCCTCTGGCCTCAGATCCTGAGTAGCCAGTGCGCACCACCACTCCTAATTTTTAAAAATTGTTTGTAGAGACAGGGTCTCCCTATGTTGCCCAGGCTGGTCTTAAACTCTTGGGCTCAAGTGATCCTCCTGCCTTGGCCTCCTGGTGTTGGGATTTCAGGCATGAGATACCTTGCCCAGCCGATTTTTTAAAAAGACAAGCCACAAATTCATTTTTTCCTGTGAAAATTTTCCTGCTTTTAAAAACTTGACAACTTGTTGATTTTTTGGTCACTGTGACAAACATATCTGCAGTAGAAGGATGGGGGGGTACCTCAGTGGAGCTCTCACAGGCCTGCGGCACACGGAGGCAGGGCTGGCTTCCTGAGTGTGGCCTGTCCAGCGATTTTACAGGCCCTGTGCTAGGAGGACCGCACCTCTATGATGTGTGCTCTGTTGTTGCCATTTCAAAAAAAAAATTTTTTTTTTTTGAGCTGGAGTTTTGCTGTTGTTGCCCAGGCTGGAGTGCGATGGCGCGATCTCAGTTCCCTGCAACTTCTGCCTCCCAGGTTCAAGTGATTCTCCTGCCTCAGCCTCCCGAGTAGCTGGAATTACAGGCGCATGCCACCGCACCTGGCTAATTTTTATATTTTTAGTAGAGATGGGATTTCAACATGTTGGCCAGGCTGTTCTTGAACTCCTGACCTCAGGTGGTACACCAGCCTCGGCCTCCCAAAGTGCTGGAAGTAAAAGTGTGAGCCACCATGCCCGGCCTAATAATTATTTAAAGGGCCCAAGCTTTGACTTTGCACTGAGCTTTGCAAATTACGAGGCCTGTCCTGACTGGAGGCAAGGGCTGAGCCCATCTGGCAGTGGGGAAAAAGGGCCGAAGAGGAGGTGAGGAAATGCTTCATAGAAGGGCCCCCAGGGAGGAGGTGAGTAGTTCAAACAACAGGCCAGGATGTGGCTGTGCGACACTGTGAGGTGGGAGTGTGTTGTGTGTGCCGGCGTGTGCAAGTGTGTGAGGCTGTGAATATGGTCCACGCCAGTGCATGAGAGCAGGCAGTGTCTGCAGAGCGTGCAGGGGCATGTGTGAGGACTTGTGAATATTTATCTTTGCGAGTGTGTGTGTGACTTTGGTTCCCATGAGTGTGTATGAGTGTGTGTGTGGTATGTGAGGGAGGTGGCGGCCAGGGCAGGGAGAGTCACGGGGCCATTTAACAAATATTTATCGAGCACCTCCTCTGTGCCAGGCGCTGTGCGAGGTGCTGAGGTGAGTAAGCCCAGTGCTTGCCCAGAGGTGCTCACAACCGGGAGGGAGAGGGGTGTGTAAACAGACAACTGCAGTGAGAGGGCAGATTGAATCCAGACTCCACAGAAATGCAGCCCCTTCACCCACTTCCCCCAGGAGAAGCCAGATTTCCCAAGAATTGGTGGGACAGGTGGGGCTGTGGGGAAAGCCGGAACTGTCCCGGGAGGCTGACCCCAGCCCCTCCTCAGGCACACCCAAACACTATGGGAGGGGCGACCTCCCTCTGACCTGCACAGCGACACACCCAACCCCACAGAAGCAGATAAGAGGTGACCAGCAGCTCCGGCAGGGCAGGATATAAACAGCCCAGCCCTGTGGCTTCCTCCCAGACCCCACCCCTAGTCAGGACGGACCTGAGGGGACCCTGACCATGGGTGGGTGAGAGATGGGGCCCATCTCCTGCTAGGAGGAGTCGGTTCAGAGGCCCCTGGACTGGTGAGAGTCGGGGGAAGAGTGCCTGGTGCCCAACAGAGAGGGCAGCATAGAGGCCAGCCCAGGGGTCTGTGCCAGGACTCTGCAGCATCCTGAGGGGTGAGAGGGGAGAGAAGTGGAGAGAAAGACGTCCCTCCCCAGAGCTGCCCTCTTCCAGGCTGTCCCAGCGCTGCCCTGCAGAGGCCACCTGCCCAGGCAGCCCCATTGAGCTGCAGCATGGGAGCAGGTGTGCTGCGAGCTGGTCCCTGCTCTCACCCAGCCCAGCCAGTGACCTCGGCTCGCCAATAGCTTTGTCAGTAAAACAGGGACGCCCAGTCTCCTCAGAGAGCTGTGGGGCGGATCAAATGAGATAATGGGATGAGGAAAGCGCCTCATAAACTGCAAATGGCAGGACAAAGGTCAGCGCACAGCGGGCAGCACCTGCCCCCAGCCCTCCAGAAAAGGATAAAGGGGCTGAATGCCACATTCCCAGCCCTCCTCCCTGCGAGGATCTCCTTTAGGAGCTGAAGAGGCTGGGGGTCAGGGGAGGCCAAACAAACTGGCCTGGGCTCCAGAGGCTCCTCTCACACTTCTTGGTTAGGTGACTTCAGGCCACACTGGGCCACCTCTCTTAAGGGTGCAAGTACCCAAGATATTGTGGAGAGGGAAATTAGCCCCGAGTCTAATGCATAATTTTCAAGAAATGGGGTCATTTTTAGACTAAGTACTTGTGAAAGCTTCCCCAGCTTCTGAGGCTAAACCTATCTATGCCCTGGCCTGCACCCCCTTTGTCTAACTGGCTCACACTTCAGAAGGGCAATGTAAGTAATAGTCTTTTTCCAAAATGACTCCAGGATTCTGGGTTCTCTCATGACCCCACTCTTGTCTCCAGCCAATTTCTCCACTCTCCTTTCCACCATTTCTTGCTCCTCCAGAGCAAGCCACATTTCCGGACATCCACACATGAGGATGTTTCCCTGAGGTCCCTTCTTTACCCACGTCACTTCAGCCAATAATCTGGTTGGTATTTCCAAGACGACAGAGCAGTATTTCAAACCCGTGAATGGGATTTGAATGTGCTCTATGGAGTGTAAAGCCTCAGACTCAAGGAAATTTCCACCTGGAAGGCATTCTTCATAATGAACGGTTCTCCTTAAAACCTAGACACATTATCACTGTGAACAGAGTAACAGTTCTGGCATCTTTTGAGAATAGAGCCCCTACACCAGGAAAGGCTCCCAGGAAAAGATTTTAGGACAGAATCAAGGCATGCCTGGAACCTCTTTCCACATGTGAAATGGGAATACTGCATCTCCTCTCTTCTTGGAGGAGGATTAAACGAGGCAGCGTGGGCCAGGACAGTGCCTGGCATGAGACTACACTGTCCCTGGGTGCTCTACTCACTACCTGGGTGACAGGATCATTTGCATCCCAATCACACACTATACCCATGCAACAAATCTGTGTATGTACCTTCTAAATCCAAAGTAAAAGTTGCAATTATTAAAAAAGAGAGAAAGGGCCAGGAGCAGTGGCTCATGTCTGTAATCCAGGCACTTTGGAGGTCAAGGCGGGCAGATCACCTGAGGTCGGGAGTTCAAGACCAGCCTGACCAACATGGTGAAACCCCGTCTTTGAAGAAAAAAAAAAGAGAAAGACTATACTTTCACCAAATGTAACTGCTTCTCTCATTCTTTCTCAAGGAGTACTCCATTTTTTCCCCCCCTTTACAAGATCCTAATTCTGATTTTGTCAGACTCAAAAACTGGAATTCATATGACAGATATACACAGCTTACAGCCCATTTGGCTGGAATGTAAAAGCCTCTGTTCCACAAGGCCAGCCATGCAATTCTAGACTCTTGAGAACATCAGGTCCAAACCCTAGCCTTACAGGAAGAATCAGTCCTAAAGAGGACAGACAGGGCCAGGCGCGGTGGCTCACGCCTGTAATGCCAGCACTTTGGGAGGCCGAGGCGGGTGGATCACGAGTTCAAGAGATCGAGACCATCCTGGTCAACATGGTGAAACCCCGTCTCTACTAAAAATACAAAAAATTAGCTGGGCACGGTGGCGCGTGCCTGTAATCCCAGCTATTCAGGAGGCTGAGGCAGGAGAATTGCCTGAACCCAGGAGGCGGAGGTTTCGGTGAGCTGAGATCGTGCCATTGCACTCCAGCCTGGAGCGAAACTCCGTCTCAAAAAACAAAAAAAAATAAAAAAAAAAAAAAAAAGAGGACAGACTTGGTCAAGGTCAAGGTCACCCGAGCAGCATTGTGACATCAGGATGCTCCTGACCTCCGCTTTCTGAGTTCATGTCCTTGCCTGAAGTCTTGTAGGTGTTCTCCAGCAGCCTCACCTGCTTCCTTTGCTCGCCTCCCAGCCCCCAGCCTACCTGTCTGTAAGCCCAAACCTGCTACTCCCCTCTTCGTCAGCCTGTGCCCTCACCCTCAGCCTGGTAGCCCCTCATCCTCCTCCTCTCCAACCTCTTGACCATATTCCATCCAAAGGTCCAAATTTCAGTACACAGGTAGCTAAGACAAAGGTTAGAAAAAGCCCAGAAGGCACTTTATTGGAGGTCTCTGCCTCCCTTCACAGGAGAAAGGAGCCAGGAGCCCCATCCTCGGGGTCCCGGCCTCAGCCCACCGCAGGGCCTGGAACAGTCCAGCACTCTGTGGGAGAGGAGTGGGAAGGGAATGTTTTAGAAAAAATAGATCTCTATGTACATCTGACATATTTATAGCACATAAATTAGGGAGTGCTCTGACCCCTGCCCGTGGAGCCCAAGCACCAAGCAGGGAGGTGAACGCTAGTCCGGAAAGAAGGTGCTGGAGCCCCTGCTCTGTCTTCTCCATCACGGCGCTCCCCTAGGGCCTCCCCAGGCCTCCCTGGCTCAGTCCACGTGTCTGCAGGAGGAAGGTGCCGTCTCCGTTTAGTCTGGGTTTGAGGAGACACCAGATAAAAGGAGACATGCTTGCAGCTAGAGAGTCAGCTTCAAACCCCAGGGCTTGTAATTCCAAGAGGAGGTCGGGGAGGCGAGGCCACAGTCTCCGAGTCCCAGGACGATGGCAGACAATACACCAAAACTTAGCTTCTCTCCACAGCACAGCTGGGAGCATTCCCCAGTGGAGGGGCCATCTGGCCTGCCTGTCCTCCCAGGAGGGGTTGCAGGCCTCGAGTGGCCCATAAGTTTGGTCCCGGATATAGTTCCGACCCTCAGTTCCGACTCTGGAGAACCTCTTCCTCCTTCCAGCCGCTGGAGTTTTTGCCAAACTTGTAGACGAGTCGACGGCCATCCACCCGTTCCAGGATCTCCCGTTTGTAGTAGTACCTGGGTGGGGAGAAGGATGGTCAGAGGTGCTTAGGCAGGAAACGGGCCCCAGACGGCCAGTCCTCCCACGTGGCCTGCGTTATCCCCAGGTGACCCGTGCCCACAGGTCTGAGCCTGACTAACCTGAGCCTGACTCACACTTCCTGAACTCCTCTGTTCTTCCCACCCGCAAGCAGACGCTGTCTGCTCTGTCCTTACACTGGCCTGTAACTGTGGCCAGGACGCATGGCTCTCTGCCCTTGCTTCTTTGTATCCTATGGCTATGACTTGGGTCTGATCATTAAATTACTTGATTTTTAAGGCCAGGCAGCTGGGCGCAGAGGCTCATGCCTATAATCCCAGCACTTTGGAAGGCAGCGGCGGGCAGATCACCTGAGGTCAGGAGTTCAAGACCAGCTTGGCCAACATGGTGAAACCCCATTTCTATTAAAAATGCAAAATTAGCTGGGCATGGTGGCACATGCCTGTAGTCCTAGTTACTCAGGAGGCTGAGGCAGGAGAATCACTTGAACCTGGGAGGTGGAGGTAGCAGTAAGCTGAGATCACACCACTGCAGCAAGACCCTCTTTCAACAAAAGAAAAAAAGGTCAGGCACAGTGGCTCATGCCTGTAATCCCAGCACTTTGGGAGGGCTATGTAGGAGAGTCATTTGAGACCAGGAGTTTGAGACTGGCCTGGCCAACATAGAGACCCTTGTCTCTATTTTAAAAAGAAAAAGAAAAAAAAAAAAAAGAAAGTACATGATTTTAGGGCTGGATGGGAACTGAAGATGACCTAGTCTCCCCCTGGCCATAGGAGGAAACTGAGGCCGGAGAAAAGCAACTTAATTCCTTCAACGAGGAGAAAGGCAGGTCCTGAGGTGGGCACAGCTCCTGCCCCCACAAGTGCACTGTGTCTGCTGTCTGCCAGGCTAATACTTTCTCCATGTTGTCACTTAATCCACAAAGTAGGGCAACCCTGCTGCTGTCCTCACTCCACAGACTCAAGCTTGTTGCATGAAGCCGAGGAGCCACCAGAAAGAGGGAGATGGGCCCATAAGCGCCTGTCCCCGTGTCCGGCGCATTGTGAGGGTCCTGGCCAACTGCTCACCTCATGGCCCGGCTCAGCTTCTCATAGGTCATGTTGCTGTTCTTTTTCTTTTGGCCCCACAGTTGGGCCACAGCCTCAGAGCGCAGGAACTTGAAGATGCCTTCGTGCCGATTCTCCCATTTCATGAGGCCCTCGTTGAGCTCCGGGTGGATGAGGATGTCCCGGATGAACTCCCAGAGGTGGGTGCCTCTGGGCGCTGCAAGGCCAGCTTCTGTCAGTTTCCGTCCAGTGTCATCTCTCACCCAAAGCCAGTCAGCCCTGCCCGCCCCAGCGCACCACTGACTCAGCCACAGGCATGGAGCAGGCCCCTCCAGAGAACCCACAGCACCCTCTGTGCGGGTACTGTAGTGGCTGCCTTTCTCCTCAGCCCACCTAAGCATCCACCAGCAGCTTCCTCACATCACTGAGAAGTCCCAGAAGGTACACAGTGGCCAAGTGCAGAGAGAGCTGGAGTCACTGGACAGGACACCTGGACTCTAGTGCCAGGCGCCTCCACAGGGACCCTAGGTCCCCCTCCTCTCCAGGACCACCAAGTCAGGCTCTGCAATCAGGTGGTGACCAATACCATAGAGCCCCCAGCATGTGCACAGCCTTAACCAACGCCATGCAGGAGACCAGAAAAAACGGGGGAAGGAGAATACCCATACTGCCCTGCAGTGCCCCAAGGAGCCGCTCAGCCTCAGCGCAGGGCCGACCCAGGCGCCCCCGGAGCTCACCGTGCTTGCTCTTCTTGCCCTCGAGACAGTCCCAGTACTCTTTGCTCAGCTTTCGGGGCCGGCCTCGTTTCCGCTTCCCGTGCTTGGGATCCCCCTTCTTGCAGTCAGGAAAGCTATCTGTGGGGACAGGGTGGAAGGTCAAGGAGGGTGAGGGGGACGTTAGGGGGAGCAGCCCCTCTGGGCAGTGGTAAATGGGACGCCCTCTTGGTGACCTCCCACGACTCACCACTGGGGAAGAGCTTGCTGTCAGTGGGATCCAGGTCCACGTCACTTCCACCAGAGTCTGAGGAGTGGGAGCTCCGAGAAGTACCAGTCCCTGGGGGGGGGAGGGCGGGGCGGGTGGCGTCAGAGTGAGTCCCTTCCCAGCCCACCCTCTGCTGAACCAGGCTGCTGGCTCTCAGGTCACCCTTCCCAGCCTGTTCCTGTTCCTGCCAGAGGGTCCGAGTACTGGTGCCGGGAGCCAGAGGGAACCAGGGACACTTGGGGGAAGGGAGGTTGTGCCCCAGAGAGGGCTCTCACCTGTGGTGGAGATGTCAGAGCTGCCGGGGGAGGGGGCTCCTGCGCCACAGCTGCCGGGGTGGTAGGGGCTGGCTTGCTGACCGTCGTCCAGCAGCTCCTGGGCAAAGGGACTGCCCTGGTCTAGGGAAAGGAGGTAAGAACTCAGAGAGGGCACAGGGGACCGGACTAGGATGGGTGAGGCTGCCCATGGGTCTGATAACCTGCTGCCATTTTTCTAGATGAGGGCGAATGAAGTCTGGGGAAGGGGTCATCTCTAGCACTCTGTGGAGGGGCAGGGATAGGTCAAGACAGGCTGGGGAAGGAAAAGAAAACAGGTTCTCACCAAAAGGGACTGGGTCTAGGGTCTCCTGGAAGGCCATGCCATCCTTCTCCAGCAGCTCAATGATCCAACTGAGCTCATCAGAAGAGCTGGAAGCTAACAAGCAAGGAAGGAAGGAAGCGTCACAATCACCTCATCCCTCCCTCAGGGGCTCTTTCTGGCTGTGCCTCTGGCCCAGAGCTCCGGGCTGATCACAGCCACGCTGAACTCAACTCCGCCCAACATATGGAGCAGCTCCCCCACCTCTCCAGGGGCCTGCACTCACTGAGGTCTCGCAGCTGGGCATGGAGTTGGTCCCCTAGAGGCCCAAAGACCAGACGCAGCTCCTCAAGGGCACAGTTGCAGAGGGTGGCCCCGTCCATGTCACACCGTGAGAAGTCAATGGCGCTGGCATCGTACTTGTTCTTCTCCACTTGGTAGCTGATCCAGTCCAGAACCTGCGTCTTCGACCAGAACTGGGGCTGTTCCCCTGACCAGCTGGCCTTATCTGCAAGAGCCAGGCATGGCAACAGGCTCAGCTCAGGCTGCCCTGAAGACCTCACAGCCTCGTTCCTTTTTTTTTTTTGAGATCGGGTCTCACTCTGTGGCCCAGACTGGAGTGCAGTGGCGCAATCTCAGCTCACTGCAACCTCCACCTCCCAGGCTCAAGTGATTCTCCTGCCTCAGCCTCCCAAGTAGCTGGGATTACAGGCGTGTGCCATCATGCCCAGCTAATTTTTGTATTTTTAGTAGAGACGGGGTTTCACCATGTTGGCCAAGCTAGTTTCGAACTCCTGACCTCAAATGATCCAATCACCTGGGCCTCCCAAAGTGTTGGGATTACAGGCATGAGCCATCATCACTCTCAACCCACACAGCCCCATTTCTGGTATACAATGGGGACTCCCACCTCAGCCCTTGGAGCTCTCCCAGGAGTAGGGGCAGGAGGTAGCATTCACAACACCCTAGTCCTGGTATCCGACACCTCCCTCTGCCTGTCACGGCCCCACAAACCCCAGCACCTCAATACTAAGTCTCAGCCTCTAGCCCTGGAATTCACCTAGAGACCCTCCTCCCCACCCATTTCCCCATCTGTCTAACAGGCCCTTAGATGGATCAGTCTCCCCCTCCATGCCCCATCCCACCCCGCTGAGACCCACCTGTACCCTCCAATGACATCTGAGGGTTGCTCAGGGTCAGCACCAAGTCATCGGCCCCAAAAGTGGCAGCAGGGGGAACAGAGGCCAGGGTGGAGTCATCCGAGCTGTACATAGCACTGAAGTAGTTGCTGAAAATGTTGCTAATCTCACAGGTTGCAGCCATGAGGCTACCTGTGGGTAGGGGGAGAGGGGATGTGGTTGGTGAGGGGACGAGTGTCCTCTCCTTACACTCCCAGCTACTCTGCTCTGCCCAACCCTGGGCAAGAGTAGCCTCAAGGGGCAGGATGATCAGTAACTCTGCCGACACTCTCTCTTCAAGAAGGGCTCAAGATCTCAGACCAGGGCAGGATGGCAGGAGCCTGCTGCTGGGCTTCCTGCTCTTCAGATCTCTGGGGCTCTGGAGACAGACTGGCGGCGTCATGGCCATTCTGCCGTCCCAGAGACAATCTCCCTCTGTTCCTCAGCCCTCAGGACACCTATGCTCCTGCTCCGAAATCCTAGACTGGAGTGTGCAGGTTCAGAACCGCAAATCCTCTGGACCCCTCCGCAGTTTCCCAAGAGTGGGCAAGGGATTGACAGGCGGGGAATCCTACCGGAGTGGCGGAGTCCGGCTGTGGCGGGCAGGCCGGCAGGCAGGTTTATGCCGCAGGCGGGAGAGAAACGTAGTTCCGCCAGGTAGCGCCGAGGTGTATGGCTGCTGCGCTCCCCTACCCAGCTCTAAATAGAGCCTGGAGGGAGCTCCTCCCTGAGCTCGGGTCTTTATAGTGCGAGCCCTGCAGTAACCTGAGCTGGTGGCTCATTGGACGGAGGGGATTTCCTGGCCTTTAGACTGGGCTCCTGGCCCCAGGTGATTTGCATATTCAGTGCCACTTGGCCCGGATCTTAGCAGGCGGTGCTGGGAAATCAGGCCCGGCTGGTTTAATGATTGTCAGAGTCTGTCATCCCGCACCCTCTGGGGTTGGGCACAGGGCACTGGCCTGGGCAGGTGAAGGGAACGTTGCTGGGGTGGGCGTCTGTGCTTTCGGCTGCCCTGTGGCCCAGGAAATTCCTCCTAGGGGCCAGGCTACAGATGGACCAGGCAGGGGAAGGGCAATTGAGGAAAGAACAGGAATCCCTGGCTGACCTGGGTAAGAAAGCTGCTGGCCCCTAAATTCCAGAGGCTCGGTGACAAAGAGGCCTAGCAGGGAGAGGAGTTACTGGGTTTAGGAATTGTTCCCAGAACACCCAGGACTCTGGCCAGGAGCTGGGAGACGCTCTAGGCTCAAGGCTGGGCAATACCCATGGATTAATTGGTGGTGGCTGGGCGTGCCAGCCTAGCCTTGGCCCCTAGTCCCCACCAAAGAGCTCCTTCTCCAGCACCCACTCCATTGGCAAGGTCTTCACTCCTGTCAACTGCCTGGACTCCATCTGAGCATCAGGGTTGCCGCAGTCATTCCTGAAGGACCCAGCTTTGCTTGAAAGTTCTTCCCTCAGCGCCTGCTGAAGCTCTCCCTCCTGGAGTTGCCAGAATCCACGTGGATAAGTCCATCCCTGCTCTCCGGACCTCATCTAATCTCTGGTTCACTTGGCCCAGTTTTCCAGTATCATCTGCTGCCCTCTAGTGGTCAGAAGCCTGACTACCTGGGTCATGTCATTCAGAGGGAACGCAGAGTATTAATGTATTTACCAAGCACATTTCAGCGTATTCTCTCATTTAATTCTCACACCGAAAAAGCCCTGTAAGGAATGCATGGTTATTCCCATTTTATAAAGAAGAAAGCTGCATCGTGGAGGATCGAATGGCTTGCCCAGGCCACACAGAGTTGGCGAAGGGGTGAGGCTGAGAGTCACATCCAGGTATCCAGGTGCATTGTACATGAAACCCTCGCTCTTTCCCTGCGCAGGACCCAATGTCTTCCGGCTTCAAAGTCTTCCCACCCAGCTCCATGGCCAGAGCCCTTGACTTCCCTGTAGGCAGAGGCCCCCACGTCTGTGGCTGTCTCTATGGTCTCAGCCTGAAACACAATGGACAGTGTCCTATAGAGCCTCCTTGAGACCCTGAATGGGGTAATACAGGATGGCAGAGGCAGGGGACTTATAGCCAGCGTCTGCAATTGTGTGATCTTCGGTGAGACCCTTGGAATCTGCACTTGTTTCCCCCTCTGTAAAAAATGAAATTGTCTGAATTTAATAAATAATCCATAAGATCTCTTCCAAATCTAGTGTTTTTTTTTGTTTGTTTTTTGGAGACAGAGTCTCACTCTTTCACCCAGGCTGGAGTGCAGTGGCATGATCTCGGCTCACTGCAACCTCTGCCTCCCGGGTACAAGCAATTCTCCTGCCTAAGCCTCCCAAGTAGCTGGGACTACAGGCCTGTGCCACCATGCCCAGCTAATTTCAGATCTAGTTTTTCATGTATCTAAAATGTAGGATCCAGTGGCTCATACTTGTAATTCCAGCACTTTAGGAGGCCGAGGTGGGTGGATCACGAGATCAGGAATTGAGGCCATCCTGGACAACATGGTGAAACCCCATCTCTACTAAAAATACAAAAATTAGCTGGGCGCAGTGGCGCGTTGCCTGTAATCCCAGCTACTCTGCAGGCTGAGGCAGGAGAATCGCTTGAACCCAGGAGACGGTGGTTGCAGTGAGCCGAGATTGCGCCACTAAACTCCAGCCTGGCGACAGAGTCAGACTCTGTCTCAAAAATAAAGGTAGGATCTGTGTGACCCACCTCCATTAATGCCACAACTTGGGGAGTTCCTAGCCACCCTCAGCCAGGGTGGGTGAAATGGATATTCAAACAAAAGGTGACTCCACCTCCAGAGATACTCCTTTCTTTAACTCTCTAGCCTGAGGACTAAGAAAGTCATGGCCAGAGAATCTGCTTCTTGCCTTCCTCCTCTCTGAAGATCCTGCGTGCCTAGGAGAGCGTTAAAGTCCAAGATCCCCTCCCATCCCCCGGCCAGTGCAGGCAGGAGAGCCTGGGGCTCAATAGGATTTTCCCCAGCCCTTCAGGGGGCCTCCCCCAGGAAGCTTAAGGCAAAGACACATCCTCCACCCAGTCCCTCCCCCAGGAATGTGGAAGAACCGGCTTCTAGCCCCAGGGCTGCTCACGTGCTCCCTGCCCTGAAGAGCACCTGGCTGGGGGTCCCGGGGATGGCGGGGTGAAGAGGAGGATGTATGAGAAAAATGAGGGCTCTCGGCTCCCTTGCCTTGTTGGGGCTTCCTCACAGGTGACACGGAGCTGAGATAAGGAATCCCTATCGGCTAGCACCTTGAGATAAGTGGGAAATACTTGGATTTGGGTCAGTGCCTTGGAGGCATGGGATGCGGGTGGGGACAAGGTTCCGGGATAGTGGTCTAGGGAGCTATGGAGCGGGATGCCGGGGCCTTCCTGGTATTCTGTGGTGGCAGGAACAGCACAATGGCCTCCCCTCTCCCTACAGAGCTTGCATACATAGCAGCACAGCCTCACCTTTGGGATGGAAGGATGTCCTATAAAAGGACAGTCACATCCAGTAGGCCTATCAGGTACCAAAGTGGCAAATAAAGCAGGCTACACAGCTCAGGATACCCATGCTAAGAAATGGGAGGCCCCACAGAGTTAGTGGAGTCACAAAACGGCTGTACAAGGGCTTCCAGCCTTGGTTTCCGATGACCCTTCTTGATTACTGGGCCTATTGGTGCCATAGGTTTTGTAGAGCAAAGAAACACAGCTACTGATAAGCTAGGTAACAGGTGGGGGAGAGGGGGTGGCAACTGGATAGCCCTAAAATAGTCCTTGCCAGTAACGTGCTGCCAGGAGCAGTCCTGAAAGAGCCACAGAAGCAGTTTGCTATCAAAATGCCAGTGCCTGGAGCAGCTCTTCCGATCCCAGGCCTCCAGATCCCTCTCCTGTGACCCACATCACCCTTTCTGAGGGTGGAGCTGAGTGTGCCATGGGGCAGAGGCTTCTCCAGTCTACCTCTTGGTCACCACTAATGCGTTGCTCTTGCTGAGTGAAAGCGAACTGACTGTTCCCAACGCTTGTGCAGAGGGAGGGAGCCTGTTTGACAACCTAAAGCGGAGGACGGAGCAGAGCTGTGAACAGGCTGGTTCAGGGGTGCCTTGTATTGAAGAAAGGCAACTGAAACACACTAAATATTCCTTCCAACCCTCCCCTCATCCCACTCCCAAACCCAGATTGCCAACTGCTTAGGTCCCATGTTGAGGCCAGGAAATCAGAATTTAGTGCTAAGTTCTAAAAGACTTTACTGATTAGCACACCATTCATAGTCATCTAGGACCAAAGGCAGGTGAGGCCCAGTGAAACTCTGGGGTGGAGAGATAGGTAGAGAAAAAGTCCTAAAACACTTTATTTTTTGAAATAGGGTCTCACTCTGTCACTCAGGCTGGAGTTCATGACACAATCAAGATTCACTGCAAACTTGACCTCTTGGGCTCAAGTGATCTTCCTGCCTCAGCCTCCTGAGTAGCTGAAACAACAGGCATGCACCACCACGCCCAGCTTTTTTTCTTTTTTTGAGACAAAGTCTTGCTCTGTCACCCAGGCTGGAGCGCAGTGGCACGATCTCAGCTCACTGCAACCTCCACCTTCTGGGTTCAAGAGATTCTCTTGCCTCAGCCTCCCAAGTAGCTGGGGCTACAGGTGTGCGCCACCACGCCTGGCTAATTTTTTATTTTTTAGTAGAGACAAGGTTTCACCATGTTGGCCAGGCTGGTCTCGAACTTCTGACCTCAAGTGATCTGCCTGGCTCAGTCTCCTAAAGTGTTGGGAATTATAGGTGTGAGCCACTATGCCTGGCCTTTTTTTTTTTTTTCCTGTAGAGATGAGGTCTTGCTATGTTGGCCAGGCTGGTCTCAAAACTCCTGGGCTCAAGCAATCCTCTCGCCTTGACCTCCCAAAGTGCTGGGATTACAGGCATCAGCCACTGCGCCTGTGTAGGGTCCAGCCCTACAGGGTTCTATGAGACCCTCCCGGCTGGTGCAGGGATGAGACATTGTAGAAATAAGACACAAGACACAGAGAAAAGAGAATTTGGGCCCAGAGGTCCACTGCTACCCAAATTGCAGGAGACCAGCAGTGGCCCCCTCTGTGGTCACTCTCACTTTTATTGAGTTGTAAATGTGGGGGCAGGGTGGGTAGGGCGTGGTCTTGGTCCGAGACTGGGGGCAGGGTAGATAGGGTGTGGCAGTGATAGGGTCACTCGTGAGGCTATTTCTGGCACCTGAAGTGAGGTAAGGAGCATAATGTATCAGTACTTTTTCCAAACTTATCAAGAAAGAACTACAACATTAAGATTTATATTACTATTACTGATTCTGTTTTCTAAGAAAGAAGGAGCCAGGTGTAGAAGCAGAACATAAGCACGGCATCACGTAGAGACAGTTAAGCCCCTGGATGTCTGTGGGCCTGCCTGACAGCCGTCAAGCCCTATCGCAAGAGCTTGGAGAAGCAGAGTTTTCTCCTGACTCCTCCGGGGAAGAAGACGTCTCAGCTATTTTGGACGTCTCCTAGCTGGCTTACTCGGGCGCTTTCCCAGCGCTGGCACTGCCGCACAGTCAAGGCGCCCTCCCCTCCAGCAGCCTTTACACGGACGTGACAGAGGGCTTAGAGCATCTTGCCTTGGTGTCATTCATTTCACAATGTCACCCCAGGTTCACCTTCCGACCTGAGAGGCATTAGTAAAAGAATTAAGATCACCTATGAATAACTAATAACTACTATGCTTGTATTTCTAGTTACTTTCTTCTTTATTATTTATATGGAAATAGGCGGAGACTCTTTCTCCTGCCTCGGTGCTTATGGGATCTCCCCTCTACGTGCCTGGCCCATTTTTTTTTTTCAGTGATGGAAAATAGGAATGCTGCTGCAGATAGAGAATTCAGCTGCTTCATGGAGAACTGAAATGCTATTCCTTTTTTATTTTCCTGCACCAGCAGTGCCATTTCGCCATATATTTTTTCCTATGCATGTGTGGGACACCCACCTCCTTCACCCTGGCTGTTCCCTGAGGACAGGAAAACACTGTCATTCTCTGGGCCTCCCCCAGTGACCCTTCCTGAACAAACACAGTGAGGACTCCTGGTGAAAGAAATTTAATAGTCACTTAATCCATAACTCTTACTATTTGCTTGAAAACTTTATTAAAATAAGGATTAAACCCGGAAAAAAGATCGATAAGAATGCTAGCCCTTTGCATAAAATCAGCAAGAAAAAGGAAACAGGGAGAGGAAGAGAGGAAAGGAAGGAAGGAAGGGAGGGAGGGAGGGGAGATCAGTCCTCTTCACTTCTCCCTGGAAACTTAGAAGGGGAGGAGAAGACCCCCTGCCCTCAGTGCCTGCAGCCTGTAGCGGGGAGAGCTGTGGGCAGGTTCTCTGTCTCATGGCTCAGTGGCCTAGAGAAGTAAGTTCCCACCAGAGTAGAGGCCCAAGAGTCACAGATACCTAAGCCTAGAGAACAGATTATCCCGAAGGGATATAAACTCCAGAACGTTGATCAGAGAACTGGCATTTGGGAACAAACAATTAGTCCGGAAGCCTAGAGAGCCTGAAGAGGCAGC